AGAACTGGCAGAAATTCAAGCTGGATTTACTAGAGGCCGTGGTACCAAGATTTTCATTGTTGATGTCAGATGGGTTTCAGCTAAAAGCAGAGAATACCAAAGGATGTCTATTTGTGCAAAAGATGTTTATATTGTGAGTGTGACTGTGTGTATCACAACACAGTACAGCTAACATTGAGAACAGGAATTCCAGATCACCTATTATTGTTATGTGCTGTCAAGTCACCTGACTCATAGTGACCCCATGTACAACAGCTCTGAAGCCTGTGCTGTCCTGAGCTACTCTCACTGACTCTGACACACCTATCCTCTCTGCCCCAGTTACCGTATTAATCCATCTGGGGTCTTCCTATTCTGCACTGTCTTTCCACCATTCCGAGCATATCCTTCTCCAAAGATTGGTCCCTCTTGGCCATGTGGCCAAAGTATGTGAGACAGTGCTTCAAAATCCTAGCCTCCAAGGAGAAACTTGGTTTTACCCTCTCTAAGACAGATCTATTTGTTTTCTTGGCAGTCCATGGTATGTTTAAGACTCTTTTCCAGCACTACAGCTCAAAGACATCAATTCTTCTGTCATCTTAGCCACTGTCCAGCTCTCTGATGCATAGCAAGTAAATGTGAAGACCATGGCCTGGATCAGATGCACCCTAGTTTCTAGACTGACATTGTTGCTTCTCAGTACTCTGGAAAGGTCCCTGACAGATTTACCTAATGTAATTAATCTTTTGATTTCTTGACTGCTGGTGCCAAGAGTGTTGATTGTGGAGACAAGAAAGCTGTAACTGTTAATATGCGTAATTTATACTTAGACCATTAAGCTACTTTCAGAACAGAGCAAGGGAGCACTTGTTGATTGCTGTCGAGTCCAGCATGACTTATAGCAACCCCATGAACAAGACATGAAGCCTTTGTATAACTATCATTGTTTCTCAAAGTCCATAGTTTCCAGAGGCATGCTGTTTAGGAAGTGGATACCACTCTTGCTTCCAAAAGGGTAGTTCAAAATCAAGAAAGATGTCCATCAAGGTTGTATCCTTTCTCCATAACTATTCAATCTGTATGCTCAGTAAATCATTCGAAAAGCTGGACTTTACAAAGAATATGGCATCAGAATTGGAAAAAAGATGCATCATCAACAACCTGCATTATGTCCATGACATAACCCTGCTGAAAGTGAGAAGGACTGAAATGCTTTCTGCAGAAGATCAAAGACTACAACTTTCAATAAAGACTGTATCTCAACATCAAGAAAACAAAAATTCTGATCACTAGGCTAATAGGTCACATCATGACAGATGTAGAAAAGATTGGAATCGTTAATGATTTCATCTTACTTGGATCCATAATCAACATCCTTGGTACCAGCAGCCAGGAGATCAAGAGACAAGTTGCATTGGGAAAATCTCCTGTCAAGGACCTTTCCAAAGTTTTAAGGTGCAATGACGTCAGTTTAAAGCCTAAGATATGCTTGATCTAATCTAGTCTTTTTAATTAATTGCTATGCATCTGAAAGTTGGGTAACGACTAAAGAGGACAGAAGAGTCGATGCCTTTGAGTTGTGGTGTTGGGAAGAAGTACTGAGTATCCCACGGACTGCCAAGAGAACAAGTCTGTTCTGAAGAAAATGAAACCACGGTGCCCCTTGGAGGCAGGATTGCAAAATTCTGTCTTACGTACTTTGGGCATATTGTTAGAAGAGGTCAATCCTCAGAAAGGGACATCATGCTTTGAAAGGTGTAGAGTCAACATACGACAGGAAGACCTTCAAGAAGATGGTGTGATTCTGCAACTTCAATAATGGGCTCAAGTATGTCAGAACTGGTGAGGTTGGCACATAAATGGCAAGGTTCAGAATTGTTCACAGGGATGCTGTGAGTTGTAGCTGATCTGATGGCACATAATGATCTTCTATAACCCCTGCAATAATGTAACGGAGCTCTGCTGACTTACTAGGAGGTGAGATGTACTGTCAATTCAAAGGCATGTGGTTCGACTCTTAGGAGCTGCTCTTCCAGACAAAGCTAGGCAATCTCCTCCCATGTGACACACAGACTTTGACATCTCACTAGAGGGTTAACTATGATTGCTTCTGATTCTATAGCAATGAGTTTAAGTGTTTATTGTAAAACAGACATTTTATAATTTTTCAGTCAAGAGAAAAAGACATTCATGATGGATTGACACATGATACAGCAGTGGGCTCAAGTGTGTCAGAGATGATGAGGACGACACAGGACAGGATGGGGTTCAGAAACGTTGTTCATAAGGTCACTATGGGTTGTACTTGGCTTGCCAGCATCTAACAACAACAACAACAACTTAACAATAATGGTATTAACTTTCCAATTAAAATTCCTCTAGGTTCCTTTTAAGACTGCTTTTTTGTTCCTCTTTCTTGTTTACTGTGGCAACTTTCCTTCAACTTCAAAACTTGAATAACAACAGTAACATTAATTATGGTTGTTGTCAGGGGCCACAAGTATGACTCATATCAACTCTATGAACAATGGATCTGAACCCTGCCCTATCCTGTGCCACCATCATCATCTGATATAGGTAAAGCTCATTGTTACAGTCATTTTGACAACTTCTAGCTTTCCTAGATTCTTATTTTGTACATTTCACATTCCACTTATTACTGGATGTTTATAAATGTTTCTCATCGTGAATGACTTCCAATCTGGGTTCTTCCTTAAGTACTATTATCTATCAGTGAGCCCCTATTGTTCACAGGATTTACAAAGGGCTGCTATTTCAGAAATAGATGGTCAATCCTGCTTTCTAGCTTTAATGTGGAAGGTCCATGAAAACTGCTGCTGACAACTGAGACTCTGGTCACTCTAGTACAGTAGGTTGATGGACAAGTGCTGTACTCACTGAAAGCAAATGATTAATAAGGAAGCATTTACACAAATCAGGATAGTGTCTAACTTCCCTTCACATTTGGATGGTGCAAACTACCTCTGGATTACTGCTAAAACCAAGCAGGTCAACTAGTGCAGGATGTGACTAGCATACCACCTGAGTCTCTCTCCTATGGAAAGTCCCCTCAGACAGAAGAAACCTTTTTATTGTTCTATTGCACTTGTCTCTGAGATTGGTTTCTGGTGGCAGGCAGGTTGGGGTAACAGCTGCAACAATGGGCTCAATCATAGGCACAGCTGTGAGGCTGGCAGAAGTCTGAGGAATGTTTTGTTGTATATAGAGTGCTTTAAGTTAGGACCAATCTGACAGGACTTAACAATCCAGTGGTCATTAAAGGGTAGTCCACAAACTCCTGTAGTAAAGTAGACTTTCCACGAAGTAGTGCCCAACGTCAAAATGATTTTCATATTAACAACGTTACTGGCCTTATAAACTCATGGGTATAGAACAGAGTTTTCCAGAGGCCACAAGGAGTACTCATTTTTATCTGAGAGGCTGTTAAAATTGTTCTTCTTTGGCTAACCATGTACCTGTGATGCTTCAACCACAATAAAAGATATGAACGGGCTGAAGGAGCTGGAGACCCATCTGTTTTCTAATAATCCATACTTCAAGAAATCTGCAAAATCACGCTATGCCACTTTTCTCACTAAATTTTGTTTTGGGGAAAAATTATAGCTCTTTTCACAAAAATGTTATTTATGTTAATGAATAGTGAACATATTACTTTTATATGAATAAAAACAATTTCCTGCTTGAATTCTTTATTTGGAAAACGTCAATAGATTTAATTCATTTAACAAAAACCTCATCGGGAACCCTCAACTACTTTCATTTTCTGAGACTAGAAGGTCAGGGAGATGCTGCCCTGTTTCTCAGTCTTAGGTCTTTATGTCTGCAAAAATCTGTAGTTGACAGTAAAGGAAGTTGCTAGAAAGCATGTGGGAACAGGACTGAGAATAAGTGATACAAACAGGGGCCAGTGGAGTGGAGTCACTGAAGCAGAAGTCAGAGCCCAAGGGCTAAGAATTAACAATATAGAGACAGGGGGCCATGTGGGGAGCAGAGAGGATTATACAACAAAGGGGCAAAGAAAAGGCGGAAGAACCTCAATGAGATGGACTGACAGAGGAATGGCAACAGTGAGCTCAAACACAGGGTTGGCACTGCGGATGGTGCAGCACAGCACAGCACAGCAAGTCCTTCCACTTCACCTAGGTCTGCAGGGAGTTGGATTTGATGCGAAGGTATCTAGTTAAAAAAAGCATGTGGAAGGGTACCAGGAAAACCTTGTCTTCAAATGGAAGAAAAGTTTGCCGCAAAGTAATTTTCATTTGGATACAATTATGTTGGGGTTTTTTTTTAAGTATAAAATTGGCATTTAATAATAAAAAGGTTAAGAATAGGAAAGAATTTTCTTGAATGTATTTTAGTGACAGGTAAATTCCTACAGACTATCAAGAGTCTGAATACAAATGTTGTTGGGAGCTTCCATGGAGTTGGCTCCCAACTCAAGTGCCTCAACTCACGCACAAGGGAATGAAGCCCTGCCTGCTACTAGACCATCCTGACTGACTGGTGGTAGACTGAACTCTCGTGATCCAAAAGGCTCTTCACTGGATGGTTTACAAAAGTGGATCAACCAACAGGTTTTCCTTCCTCGTCCACGTTAGTCTAGAAGCTGCACTGAAATTAGTTCAGCTTCTTGTTGTTGTGTTCCAATGAGCTGGAACCAACCCATAGTTGACCAGCCTGTAGGTTTTCAGAGGCAATAAGTCTCATGGAAGAAGCCTGTCATCCTTCTACTCAGAAGCACCTGGCAGATCCAAACCACCTACCACATACTGTTGCCAGCACAACTCTTTATCACTAGGCAACTAGAGTTCCCTGCCCAGCATCACAGTAACACAAAAGAATCCAGTGACACTGGTGGTGGCCACGCAACCTCAATCTCCTGCAAGGAAGGTGAGAATTCCACCACCAAATCATCACATAAGCTGCAACAAAAGTTAATAAACATGCCAGGGAAAAACCCCGAACCTAGCCTGAACCACTCACCGTCAAAAGGAGCTTACCTCCTGCACTGGGCTTCTCCACACAGGGACTTTCTGGTGGTGTGTGAACTTCTGTTTTATCCTCTGTGGAAGGCACAAGTGTCTAAAACAACCAAGGTATTAGAAAGGTACATTAGCTGGTGTTTTCATATGGAAAGACTAACATCAAGTAAATGAAAATAAGAAAACACTCAGCATCTTAAAATAAGAGGCAAGTGCAAAATTTAAAAGCAAGTGCCAGTCTTTGAAAACAATAATGAAACATCAATCTAATCTTTTACTTCCACATTGCTTGTCAAGACTCAAATTTAGAACACTGGGCCCTTTATGACTGATCCCATTTCTTCAATAGGTTCTCACTACAGCACAATCAGCCCACCAGAGAGCCTGGGCCAAGCCCTGGGGCCCCCTCTTGTGCCTCCCACCGTGCCCTGGACCCTGCCTCAAGGTGCCTCCCACTGTGCCTTGGGCTCTGACTTGTTGTGCCTCCTACTGTGCCCTGGGCCCCGCCTCACAGTGCCTCCAACTGCAGCCTGGGACTTCCCTTGTCAACACACTACTCTTTCTGCCAGGAAGGTTCCCCTTGTTCTCCTTTCTCCTTTGGCCAATTTCTATTTTCCCTTCATAATCTAATTTGCAAGTCCTCTTGACAAATCCTGTTTGCCCACTGAGCACCCTTTCTGGGTGAGCTGTGCCCTCCTTGCATCCTGCACACCTCTGTTTATGCACTTGTCACAAACACCCTGCGAGTGCCACAGAGGGCGGACACATGAGAAGTGCATTGGGACAAAACTGAGAAAGGCACGTCATAGGCCATGGGGTAGGGGGTGGGGGGCGTGCGGTGGAATGTAGATTTTATTCTAAGTGCTATGGGAAGCTGCCAGAAACTACAGGTAGAGCAATGACTTGACTTGATTTTTGTTTTTAAAGATAAAGTCACACTACTGTGTGACTTGCACACTGAAGGAAGCTTGAGTGGAAGGTGAAATCTAGTGGGTAAGCCTCTCAAGTAGTTAGGGTGACACAGATGGATTCAAGTTCTTGTTAGGAAATGGACCTACAAGAGTTGGTAATAAATGAAGCTTGGGGTGACAGGAAAGAATGGAGAGAGTCTGGGGCTTCTGTTGTAAATGAAATGACAACAGTTTAAAGGTATTAGCATGGTTCTTAGTCCCCCTCCTTTGCTGTGACAAGCCTTAAGTGTTTTAAGCACAGTAAGAACAGGAGCTGTGTATGCAGAAGAGTATATGGTGAAATGGCATTTACACTACTTACAGTTCAGCATAATTGAATTATCAGCCATACCTCAGTTTTCAAGTTGGCATTCAGTTCCAATCCTTCCAAATCATGCGGTGAAGAGTCTTCATTGCCTAATGAAATTCAAATCATTAATCTAATTTGGACTTAATGTGCAAAATATATCCAAATCAAAAGGCAACAGAAAACTGGCCAAGAATGCTAAGCCTCTCCCTCCGCTGTCTCACTGCGCTGTCAGCACAGGACAGTAAAAAGGGAGGCCCAGGATGAACGGGATCTAGTCCAAGAGATTGGGGCCATATACTCATTTTCTGGACGTTAAGCCTTGTCCTGTGTGCATCCCACGATGGCTGTCTGGGAAGAATGATCAAGTGTTATTTGTAGAGATATCTTACTTCCCCTAAAAGCAAAAATACTCTGCGTCAAGGAGGTATTTTCCATAAAGAAGCTGACTTACTAACAGACTCGCTTTACTTGCTTCCCACTGACAGAGCACAAGTGAAAACCACATTACAAAGTGGTGAGGCAGACAAGCTGAAATTGGAGTTTTCTCTGATGGTTATCTCAGTTCTGGCATGGCCCTGTAACTTGCTTCTTTGCAACCCAATCCTGCTTACTGCTTCTCGTTTTCCTCATCTGCCTAAGGCTGAGCTTTCAAAGAAACTCAGACTCTAAGAAGCTTTGGCCTTTGTTAGCTAAAAAGCCACTCTTTTATGGAGCTTTTCCATTTCTAGGGTCAAAATCAAAACCAGAATATCATGGTAGCATTATTAACCACTGCAAGAACACATACAGAAACAGCCCAAATGTGCAACCACGAACGAATGGATTGAGAAATGATGGTACATTCACACAACAGAATACTACGCAGCATTGCAGGAGCAATGACTTTATAAATTATTACCTAACTAGGGAGGGACTGGAGAACATTATGCTGAGGGAACTCAGTCCCACAAGGATAAATACTGTATAAAACCATTACTGTAGAATGAATATAAGGATCCAAGAGGGGTGGGGGAGGCTGGAAGCAGAGGGATGAGGATGTGCAGGGGCAGGAGGGATTAATCATGGGGTTGTACAATTTGATGGGTGGGGGAGGTGAGGGAAATTGAAAGCATTTGTTTTTGAACACAATGTATTTGAATTTTGTAAATAAACTAGTAGAAAAAAAGGCCCTCCAAAACAACAACCAACAGTGTACAAGCTCTATTAGCTAGAACATATTAAATTGTTGAATCCCAAGAGGAAAAAAAAAGAACTAGGGTGTAGTGCAGGCTGGTCAAAACATGCAGCAATGACTGAACAACCAACACTAGCTGAGCGTTCAATGTACCTCAGGTTGAGGTAAATGAGGATTTTACCTATTCCTCAGTTTGGAACATTTCCCACTATAAGTATCAAAAACCGAACAGCTGCATGGAGACAATACCGACTCAGGGGGCAGAGCACCCTCTCGGTGTCCCATGGGGCCTCCAAAAGCCAAGTTCATGGAAAATGACTGCTAGGCCTTTCTTCTAAGGCAAGGCTCGGTGAACTCCACCAAGCTTCCAGTGAGGAGCTGAGAGGGGAACTGTTCAAACCACCCAGGGAAGCCCTATTATTGTTGTTACGTGCCACTGAGTTGGAGCCAACCCACAGCTGACCCTCCAGTGGATTTTCAGAGGTGGCAAATCTCATAAGACAAGCTTGTTTCTGTTTTTTTCTAGTAGAATAGATGGTTGTGAATTTGAACTGTGCGCCTTTGGGCTGACAGCACAACTCCTTAGCCACTAGGCCACCAGAGGACCTACGTACTGAGGTAGTCCCTACTTAGAATAAACAGGACAAAATCTACTGTACTTTGTTTCCTGGGATTGAATAAGATCATATGAAAGGATTCCAGATTAAAAGCCAGGATTCTACCATTTATAAAGGCAAAGTAGAAGAGAAGTCAAGTCCCCTGTCAAGTCCACCCTCTATGTACCTCAAGTTCATACAGCATCGTGGGTTTCCCTCTCTTCGAAGCATGTGTCATACCATAATGTCACTGTCTTCTTATAACATACAGCTTGTTTCACAGCCACCTATGTTTATGGAGTTAGCTTTTTATTTTCAGAACTCAGCACTCTTGAGGGAGGATGAGCAGCTTCTTCTATGATTTTTAGACTCAGAAACCTGATGAGGGGTCACTCTGAGTCAGAGAGACTCAATCGCAGGTAGCCCAAGTTGGGGTCTAACAAATGACTGAGTGCACAGGCAAGACCTTTACAAGATACCACCTATCTCAGACAAGACCAGCACTTTGTCAAATCTGCCTGGAATAAATACATTTCTGTTTCAGATACATTCATTTTATCTGAAATAATACACTTAAAAAATTAGTATGTTTTGATTAGAAGCAACCAAGTAGATGCGTACTGTAAACGTATGTGAGTAAGACGGATTTTCTGCAATGATGCTTTCTTTTGTGTGGTTTCCTATGTCTTAAAGCAGGAAAAACAAAAAAACTTCAAGGGTGCAGGTTTCTACCAGGCACTGAAATGCCATGCAAATCATTAAATGCTCTGAACAACTTCCTCTGTGTGGAGACGAGGGGGACGGAAACCATTCATCAGAGTTACTGTAAGGGGTTCTCTGCTTTGAGGAGACAGCCAACGGAAGGCTGGGGAGGGTTAGCAGCATTGCCTGGTCTCACAGCTTCTGCCTCTTCTCTTGCACCTGAGAAATGGGTTTAAGGTTTTGAACAATAGTCTATTTTAGTGATGCTTGACCTTTAAGCTAATGAGAGGGTTTTTTAAATGTTATTATTCACAAAGTTTAAATACATCGTTTTCCACACCAGGTCTCTCCCAGTTCCTTCACACCCCTCCATCAAATTGTGAGACCCTATGATTAACATCCCCTCGCTGCTCCCATCCCTCTGCTTTCACACCCCCCCCCCTTTGGATCTTCATACTCACTCTATAATAATGGTTTTACACAGTACTTGTCCTTATGGGACTGAGTTACTTCCCTCGGCATAATGCTCTCCAGTAACCACAGTTTTAAAAATAATGTTACAGTGTAAGAAAAGCATTTTCCACTCACTTCATTCTGAGAACCAGCCATCTTTTGGAGCCTGCTCTGTATGCACTCTATGTATGTCCTGTATCTTTGGAAAACTCACAAACTTATTGTTAACAACACTCACTCACCTATTTCACCATGACTTCCTTCAGAAGCAACAGTGCCAAGAAACAAGCCACTTTCCTCCTGCCCATACTGGGTCCTGACGCTGCCATCTCCCGACTTCCCACGGGCGGTCCTCTTGCCACCAGGCTCCCTCTTCCCAGCTGAGTCCCGCTCACACTCTGGAGGCAGTGACTGGGCTCCATCACTGGCTGGCAGGGCTGGAGAGTCAGGGGGAGCGACTTCTGGCTCATGGCCACTGGTACACCGGATAGTGGTGGTGGATTTCAAGCAGTCTGCAGGTGCCCCAAGGCCAGCGGGAGCGGAGGAAGGGCCTGCAGCAGCGTCCTGAGGATCTGGCAGGTCAGCTTTGCTGGCTCCGGTATTTATTGCTGCCAAACAGTGAATACTGACAGAGGAGTCCTCAGCTGTCTGCCCACATGCTACTTCTGGTCCTTGAAGGCTGAGGAGGGAGAGCGCACTCATCTCTAAGTCCCTTCTGGATGGATCAGTTGTGGGTGAGCGCCTCCCTGCTGCCCCAGTCTCATGGCTTTGACCTTGCCTCTGAGCAGAGTTCGGCTTTCCAGTCTTCTCTTGGGAGTTTCCGAGGCTTGTGGTGTCCTCACACTGTCCTCTCTCTCCTCCACACACAGCAGTCAGCTGGGCTCCGCCTGCTGAGCACACACTTTGGTGGCCTTCCTCCATGCCTCCTGCCTTGGCTGGAGCTACTTGCATGAAGGATGCGGGACACAGACAGTCACCCTCTGTGATGAGGTTGGAGGTGGGAGCAGCGTGCTTGTTCCTCTGTGTAGCAGCCAGGCCGTTTCCTTCTGCGGTTCTTGTGGTGAGTCGGTTCTCTTCCTGTTTGTCCAGGCCGACGGTCAGTGTACATTCTGTCGTGCTGGTGGAGATGATGGCGGCATCACTCGGGTCCTCCTCCTGTGGGACAGCACCCACCACAATTGCCTCACGTCCTTCAGAGGTGCTCGTGGAAATCATGGCGGTGTCACTGAGGTCCTCGGCAGGCATGGAGGAGTGGCCGGCCTCCCGGGCTGCGCTGGACACAGGGCCCTCACAGTCCTCCACGGAACTGGTGGAGATGATCGCACTCCCATCTTTTTCTTCCAGGGCTGTAACGGATTGCTTGCTCACACTTCCTACGGCAACATTGGAAAGAGAGGCCTCACATTCTTCTGTGATGCTTGTGGAAATAAGTGCACACTCATCTTTTTCTTCCTTGCTGGTGGAGGCCAGAGGACTCTTCGCTTCTGCGCTGGGCATGGGTGCCTCAAAGTCCTCAGCGCTCTTTGAAATTGGGCCTTTGGTCCTTTCTTCAACAGCTGTGTCTAGCTGCTGCCGCTCGGCACCACTGAAGGCCGTTGCGCTGGAAATGGGCACTTCGCTCTCTTCCCCTAGGCTCGTGGAAATCATGGCGCACTCATCCTTCTCCTCATTCCTGGCAGCAGTGGGTTGGTCTTCATCTCCTGAAGTGGCACTGGGCATGGGGGCTTCACATTCTCCCATGTTCACTCTAGCATCGTCCACATTTTCTCCAGGTCTCAGAGCACTCGAATGACCTCCCTCCACATTCAAACTCATGCTGAGTGGAGGGGTGTAGTCATGTGTTGTACTGGTGGAAATGATTTTGCCTTGACTTTGACCCTCAGTTGAATTACTCTGATTGGTCCCACCATCATTGTCTGTAGAAGCCATGAGACCATCACACTCTTCATTTTCTGCTGAGGTTATGATGCCCTCGTCTTCTTTTTCACTTGGTGTGTGGTCAACTTCACATTCTGGGACTACACCGGATACAAGAGCTTCGTAACTGGCCCCCACCAGGCCCGTGGAAATGGTAGCATCTTCTGCCTTTTTGTTTCTGATGAGCTGACTGTCACTTTGATTTGATGCTGCGCTAGTCATGGGACCCTCGAAGCTTTCAGGAACTGGTGCTTCTCCAGCCTTTGCTGAAGTTACGCTGCTTTCTACGATACCTTTGGCGCTCGAGCAAATGCCTGCCTCTTTCATCTCCTTGTCTGCACCACTCACACTATCAACATCACTTTCACTTGCATTTATGGTGGCGGCTCCTGCCTCGGCTTCCACGTGCTCTACTGCAGTATCAACCCGACTGTCCCCTTCTGCACTCTCACAAATCAGTGCCCCTTCGTTATCTTCTATTTCTGTGCACGTTGAAGAATGTCCAATTTCATTCCCTCTTCCAGTGCTTGTTACAACACCTTCACCTTCCTCATCCTCCTCTTTTGCGCCTGTGCTGGTGACAATGCCTTCGTCGTCACAAGGGCTGGCAACGGCCACTAACGGTGTATTGGTGACATCTTTGGCTACTGTGCTGTCCATGGCATTCTCCCCGTTTTCTTCGGATTCAGAACTTATGGCAAAGCCTGCGTTGCCAGCACTGGAACCCGTGCAGCTCGCAGGCCCATCTCCGTCTTCCTCCGTGATCCCAGTGCTGGTGACTGCACTCTCACCTTCCATACCATCGTTCACTGAACCGTCTCCCTCCTGGCTGGCACTGGTCCCAGGGGGCCCCTCATTATCAACGAGGACCACACTTGCACCTGTGACCGTGCGCTCCTCCTGGGGCCCCGCGCCAGTTACAAGGCTGTCACTTCTTCCTTCTGCCACCGTGCATGTCACAGTGCCCTCGGGGCCTGGTCTTGTCCTGACTTTCTGGAATTCATCCACCTCTTCACTGCTTAAGGACCCCTCTCTTATCTCTGTCCCGGCACTTGTGACTGCACCATCACTTTCAACTTCACTAATAAATGTGACAGTGCCCGCAACTCCTTCTGAGTCTCTGCTTGAAGAACCGCCACACTTTTCTTCAGAGCCAGCACTGGTAACAGCATCATCTTTTTCTTCTGTGCTGATGCTATTCACATTATGCTCACTTCTCCCCGCCTGGGCGATCGCTCCATCTGTGGCTCTTTCTTCAGAATCAGTCATGGTACACTCTCCACTTTCTCCTTCTTTGGTGCTTGTAAGGAAGGTTTCACTCTCGGCCAATCCCTCTGTGACTACACCCCCACCTTCTTCGGCTGCTGCAAATACAGTGGACTCGCTAGGTTCTGCGCCCACATGCAGCCGGGCATTTCTGGAACAGGCACCTGCTATGAAGCCCTCGTCTGCCTCGATGCTTGTGCAAGGCAGAGCTGCCTCGCTCTCTCCTGGCTCTGAAGAGGTAGTTGTAGCAGCCCCGGTCTTGACTGTGCCTAATGTGACAACTTTGTCTTTCCCTTCAGTACTGGTGGCAAGAGAAGTCTTGTCTGCTCCACCACACCCAGCTGTAATATTCTCAGTGGTTTTACTTCTTTGGTGTAAAACAGAGGACTCCCTGGTGCCACCTTCTCCAGCACTTGTGTCAACTTCACGGTTTTCAGTTCCCCTTTTACCATCAGCGGACAGGCGATCCCTGTCACCTGGGCCTCTGTTTAAGTTCATTGCTGCTGTAGGCTTAATACCTTTGGCATCTTTTTCTGTATTTATGCCTACCACCCGATCAAGGGCCATACTGTCATTTTTGCTATCACTCACAATTGCTCTAATATTCTGTTTTAAACTGGGTGCTGGAATTAAACCATTCTCTTTCTTGGGCATACCTGTTAACACAACTTCTTTGTTAACATGAGTGTTTTCCACAGCATCTGTTAACTTGCTACCATGAGGTTTACTGACTTTTCCTTGTTTGCTGTGCAAAACAGTGGCCTGAGAACCTTCTGGAATGTGTCTGATGTTATCCCTGTTTGTTTGTGTGGGTGTGTCTACAGATGAACTTTCGCCATCTTTGTTGTCACTTGTCTGAGGGACTTCTGAGTCCCCACGATGCAAACTCTGATTAGGGACAGCAGAATGGTCTGCAAGTGAGGTGCCGGCTGCCCCACTTCCTAACACAGTTCTTTTGTCTGCTAAAGGAATTACACCTGAGTTCTGAGACTCCTTCTGAGGCACAACAGTTACGGAGCTCCAGGACGGCAAGAGGTCTCCCTTTGTGGAATGTTCTGGAGCTGTTGCTCCTTGAGGGACGTGCTCTTCAGTGGCTCTGGGTATGCTTTTCAAGTTCTTTTGTGGCCTGTCATTTTCTGACGGCATCCTAGGTAGCACTCGAGGGCTGGCTTCGGCATTCACAGTCACTTCGGGAGGTCGTGGATGAACTGCTTCTCGTTCCTCGGGGCTCACCCTGGAAACTGCACTTTGGCTGTGAGCTTTCTTGCTCAGGGTGCTCCTGTGGCCAGGGTGCTTCTCAGAGTTACCTGCTCCCATTCCGCGCCCTGCCTTCAAGGCTGGGGTTGCCGTTCTCGAATCTCCTGTGGAAGTTCTGAATTCTTCTTTGAGACCTAGAGTCATTTTTTGCTTTACAATATTTTCAGAGTCCATATTTTGCTGAGTACTATTACTGCTGCTTTCCTGAGTTTTGGAGACAGTGGACACATTTTCACTGGCTTGCTCGGAATCAATTTCCATTGGCTCCTGTTCAGGGATCAAGGTGGTCTCAACATTTTTTCTTGGTCTCTGAAGGGAGGAAATACTGGAAGTGCCCAAGGTGATTGCTGCTAATTTTTCTTCTCCTTTGGTTATGTCTTGTGATAAGCTTCCCCTTCGATTTTCACACAACTTCCGGCTTAACTTCTTTTCTAGTAAACTATTCCCTTTGGCTTTTTCATGGTTACTGTCACCTTTACCATCCTTGTCGTCTGACTTGTTCTCGTCCTTTTTCTTCACATCCTTACTGCTGTGCTTTAAGCTTCTGCTCTTGTGCCCATCTGCTAACTTTCTCTCAAGCCTGGAAGGACCTGAATCTTTATCACTCTTCCACTTCTCCTTGGCTAATGCTAGCTTGGCCCTGTGACTAGACTCCTTCTGAGTGGCATGTCCTGAAGAAGCAGCATTCTCTAACGCAGGTTCCTCACCAGGTCTGTCTTCACTTTTAGATTTTCGTTGCTTATCTGAGTCACTTTCTTCTGGGTTCTTGTCCTTATCAGGTTTGGGAGTGGCAACTGTCTTGTTGATACTTTCCTGTAATTCTGTTTCAACTCCCTTTAACAGTTTACCTTGACTTTTTGATTTCGACTTTAATGCAAGTCTCTCTTCGAACAAGCTCTTTGTTCTTCGCTTCTCTTTGTGAACAGCTTCTTCTGGTTTTAAGTTACTGTCTACACTGGTTGCTTCCGAATCACACTTATCTTCTGAGTAACTGTCATTTCTTCTCTGTAATGTGGTACCATGTGGCTTGGAACTCACAGTCTCTTTCTGTATTTTCAAATCACTTGACCTTCTTGATTTGTGTTCTGCCTTAGTTTTCTCAGTTGATGTGTGTCTTTCCTTTTTGTTTTCCTTACGGACATTCTCGTCACTTTTTATGATATATTCAGAAACTGGTTTTCCATCTTTGCCTAGAATGGATAATTTCCTTTCATTCCTGTGCTTACTCTTCCGATCAGCTTTGTCATCTGAAGAAGGCTTTGCGGGCTGGCTCTGCTTCTGAGTATTTTCATCTACTTTTAAACCTTTCTCGGAAGAGTGCAGCTCAGTCTCATCACCAGTCTTATGTCCACTGTCACCTCTGTATTTATGTTTCACCGACACCTTGTCTTCTGACATCGTTTTCTCCTTGTCAGGTTTTTCCTTGGAGGATTTCACCTCTTTCTTCGGTAGGCTCTTTGAATGTGGTGCGTCAGAGTCATCCTTCTTCAGATGTCTTTCAGTTTTCAGCATGCTTTTCTGTTTCGGAGGCTCTTCTGTGATGGTTTCGGAGCGTTCCACTGGCCGTTTTCCGTCCCTCGTGTCGGTCTCTTCCTGGGCTCCTTCCGCCACAACTGGGGTGGATGTCCGTCTTTTGTGCTCTCTTTCCCCTCTGGGTTCATTTCTGTTCTCCTCAACAGAATGTGCACACTCAGAGAGCCTCCTGGCTGGTTTACTCAACTCGCTTTTTACATGCACATGCTTCGGCTCTTTTGAAGAAGACACCTTGTCCTTTTCACCTAGCTGTAAGGAAAACACCGGGAAAAGATGAGAAATGCTGAAATCCAGTGTTACATTAAAGAACGTGTAGGTGCATTTAATAAGTACATCCAATGTGATGTTACATACATCACCCCTCAGCTGATCTTTGTAAGCAGATTGTAGTCGGTGTTAACAAACAAAAACCAAACTCCAAACTGTTGCTTTTGAGCTGGTGCCAGCTCACAGTGTCAGAGGAGGATAGAGCAGAACTGACCCAGAGGTCTGAACTTACTAAAGAATTACAACCACTCGAGATGACCACCACAGGTGGACAAGGGATGGAATGTTGCTAATAAGAGAGATTTTTAAGCAATCTCCCCTTATCATTGTTACTTGCAATTTTACAATTACTAATATAAGAAACAGGAAAAAGTTTTTTCTTCTTTCTTAAAGAAAAGTAGAAAAACTATTACCTAGATAAAAGAATACATGTATCAATTTAGAAAAAATGAGGAATTCATAACAGAATACAACAGGGGTTCAAGATGCTTCAATGTGAGGGAATTTTTACCTAACTTGGAAAAGATCAAATTCTCTTGTAAGCTTTCCACAAAAGGGCTGAATGATCTCGATGTAGAAAAAAGCATTTCAAGGGAGTTTTGCTGATCAGGACATACCTCATTTGTTTTGAGACTTTCTTTGATCTCTTCTTCAGGCTGCAGTTTCTTTTTAGAATTCTCTTCAATATTCCTAAACAACAAGAAGTTAAATTGGAGCTTGTTTAAAAAAACTGTAAACACACACTTTCTCTAAATGAGGCAGGAATACACTTCTCTTGATGCCACATCACGGTTAGAATTTCAAAACCACAACTCTATTTCAAAATCCCAGTTTTTCTTTTTCCTCCATGTACAGGGTTACTGTTGTACGGTGCTATTTGTTGGCCAACTCTAATTTGCAGAGAGTTTAAGTAAAGGAGATCTACATTTTGCTTGACCTTCAGGACCTCTGCTATGGTCACCATGTCAGCTCACCTCATTGAGGACACTCCTCCCTCACTAATCCTCTACTTTTCCAAGCATGTTATCTGTTTAAAAAGAACAGCCCCTCGAGACACCATGCCCAAAACATCAGAGCCGAAGTCTCACCAGTTTCATCTACTGATAAAGATCAATAGAATCAAATTAAAATAATAAGAAATTCAAGAGCTGACTTCTCTCAGTGTTCTAAAAATTACGGATTCATTTATCTTGAAGTCCAAATGCATTTTGATCAAAGAGCAAAACTAGAGCTCAGAGCTTATGAGCTTTATGGTCACTCCCATGTTCTCTTTGGCCTTCTAGTGATAATGCTGCAGAGAAAAAGAAAAGAAAGGAAAAGAGAAAAGAATACAAAATATGGCAGAGCTTTCGCTTAAAGGGAAAAGGATCCATACCAGTAGAGGGATTAGACTGGAAAGACTGCAGAATGAGTGCAATTGTCATAAATAAATTGAACACTCAGAACAGGGAGATTTCTGAATGCTTCTAGTAGGTCCATGGATGCACTAGAGTGGGGCTGTATCTCTAAAACTCTAGACACAATTGTGTGTGGACATGCATTTTTTCTCTAGGAAGAGGATTCAAAGTGTCCATCACATTATCAAAGATTAAGAGAGATTCTTTTGCAATGCTACAGGTATTAACACAATAAATTATGGTAGTATAAATGAAACCTTACAGTTCTTCATAAGCACATGTTTAAAGTCCAGCTCTCTGCATTGCTGTTTTCAATGCCTCTGGAGCAAGAGAAAATTACAATGGGAACAGGGCCAGAAAAACAAGTACCTGGAAACTTTTTTCCTTTTTTTGCTTAAGGCTACTTTTTTCTCTAAGACTTTCCGCTCTTTAAGGACTTCTTTAATTCTGGGGGCTTTGGGTTCCAAACGCTTTGCAGATGATTCTTCTAAGTCCACATTACCTTTGCCTAGGAAAAAAAAAAGTGGGCAATAAACTAGATTTCAGAATAATGTCATATTTGCTTAACATTAAAATTTTATCCTTGTTAAAAAAAACCCAACAGTTTAGTCAACAGTTTTAAGTTGTGATGGACTAAAAATATTTTAGAGGAACCCGTTCTATTCAAATGATCATGTAAAATTCTTTTTTAAAGAGCTAATAATTTAAACAAATACACATCCATTTATTAGTATATCACATCACACATAATTACAGGTTAAAGCAAGATCAGTTTTGTTAAAAATAACATTCTAGGTAAATTTTTGTTGTTTATTTAATTGGTAGCCTAAGTCAACTCCTTTAATACTATAAGTCTACACTGATCATAGACGGTAATTCATTTTCCAAGGATATTTCATTCTATAATCATTGGAAAATGAACTGTTAGTTTGTGAGTTGAGTGGCATTCTGACAGTATGAAAAATAAGGTAAACTCCCATATTTGAAAAAGATTTTATAATCCTATCTCATAAGTAAAACAAGTACATATCACCAGTAATAATATATTATATAGGACCTCTGTTGGCTTAGTAATAAGGAACTAGGCTGCTAACTCAAGTCTCTGATACCTGTTGGAGGGTCAGCTATGAGTCAGTTTCAACTCCATAGCACACAACAGCAGCAGCAATATATATCTATAATGTTGTTGTTGTGGACTGCCTTCAAGTCAGGCATTACTCATAGTGACCCTATGAACAAAAGCCTCTCCATAACTATTAACATTTATCAAAGTTCAGAGCTTCTGGAGGCACGTTACTTAGGAAGTGGCTGCCACTCAATATAGTATATATAGGGAGCTCTGGTGGGCTAGTGGCAAGATACTGCTCTGCAATCCCAGAGGAACACGGTTCAAATCTATCAGTTGCTCCATAGAAGAAAGATGAGGAATCTCCTCCCATGCAACTACTTCTGAAAACCTGATGGAGTGTCTACTATGGGTCGGTTCTGACTCAATGATACACAACCACATCAGTAATAGCAGACATTGAATAAGTATGTGCAGTGAATGAAGCTACACTCACAACCACATAGGCCTGGCAATCACTTTTAATAGATCCACATATACTGCAGAATGAATGGGATAAAAGGATTAAAACTCTGTCGTGAGTAAACACCTTGAGGGACTGGGATAACTCAGTGGGCCTGGGATTCAGGGCCCCGGCCTCAGGACATCAGGGCCAGCTGGCCTAACACTGTTCTCCTTTCCATTTTGGTGAGTGGTGGCTGGGGCACTACAAGCTTGTCAACAGTCATCAACAGTTAGTTGGGCTCACTTCATCTGGAGCAAAGAAGAAAATCAAATGCAAGTTGCCCTGCTAACTAAAAGCCATGTGTCTCCGGAGGGTCAAATCCACCAGCCACTCAGAGGATAAAAGACTAGTGAACTCCTCTCCTATGATTTACAGAATTGGAAAAGCAATGGAGGGTCAGCTATGTGTAGGTTCTGACTCAATGGTAATGAGTTTGAGGTTGTTATTAATTAGTCCCAAAGAAAGTGGACATGTTAACTTCAGTCTCCACAACCCTGAGACCAGCTCTAGATGGGGTCAGGATCACAAGAGACTAGCTCTGACAGTTGCTGTTGTGCACTGCTGAGCTGGAACTGACCCACAGCTGATCCTCTGGGGTTTTAGAGGCAGTTAATCACGAAGGTGCACGGGAGAAGATTACCCATCCTCCCGTGGAGCAGCTGGTGGACCTCAACCAAGGGCCTCTGGGGTTGTAGTGCAGCTTCTCGTCACTAGGCCACTAGAGCTCTGATATGTGAGAGAAAAATATGGAACAAAACTCAAAATCTTAATAAAGACCAGACTTCACAGTCTGAGAGAAACTGCTAGAATGTGCAAGGCTATAGCCCTTGACTCACTTGCAGCAGACTGGAGTGGACTCATAGCTGACCCTCCAGGGGGTTTTCTGAGGCTGTAAACTGCATGGGAGCAGACTGCCCCTCTTCCTCCTACAGAGCAGCCAGTGGATTTGAATCATGCTACACTGGGTTGCTGGCACAGTGCTTTACCCATTAAGCTACCAGCCTGGAAATAGTCACTCCCATGATTCAATGAAACAAAAGACAAATGTAAAAGATGATCATCAGACACCAGGGGGAAATGTACTCCTTTGGATAACTGAGCACACAAGACCAGAAGGGCGGCATTTGCCCAGTGATAAGAGTCAGAAGCTGGAAGGGCCACACAAGGACTAAAGAGGACTGGAAATGAGACACAGGCACAGGAAGTGAGGAGACAGTGTTACAATGTGTCGAGGAGACTGTTAAAATGTGTCGAGGAGACAGTGGTACAGTGTGTTGAAGAGACAGTGGTACAATGTGTCACACCATCAGGAAACAGCATCCATGCTCTGCTGAACATGGGAAACACTGGCAGAAGTTAGGAGACAGTGTTACAATGTATCAGTGCTAGGAAACAGCATCCATGCCCAGATGAATGCAAACCCAACATGCTCCATAACTTTTCACTCAAATAACAATGAAAAGGTAAAAAAGAGTGACCTACACCATCTCATTTAAACATTAAAATTTAACTTCTTCTATACCTTGACTCTTAGTTTTCGAAGATTTTGTCTTTTCTGCCTTCTGCTTTCGCTTTTCTTCAAGTTTTTCTCTATTGATCTGCCTTCTTAAAAGCCTCTCTTCTTTTTCTTTAGCCTAAAAGCACAAAATAAATATATTACGGTTATCCTCACAGACTATCAGGCAAAACAAAACACTCTTGGGGGGGGGAACGCTAAGAAATCTTTCAAAAACAGGGCTGTTTCAGTTATTTTTCACATGGTCTTCCTAGCTGGCAGACCCAGAACAAGTGCGTGGACCGTGCACATAAATACACGCTTGGTTTTTACCAGAGATACCCTTTCTCATGTGGCTTTTCGGAATATGGAAACTACCTGAAGATTAAGAAAGAGATGTTAAAAATATCCGTAACTCTCATGAAGAAATGCTCAAAATCCCTAGCCCTAAGAGAGATGCAAATTAAAACAACTATGAGATATCATTTCACCCCAGTCAAAATAGCAAAATTTAACAGAACAGCAAGCAACAAGTGCTGGCGAGGTTGTGGACAAACGGAACCCTGATTCACTGTTGGTGGGAGTGTAAAATGGTGCAACCCCTGTGGAAAGCAGTATGGCGCTTTCTCAAAAAGTTGCAAATAGAGATACCATTTGACCCAGCAATTCCACTACTGGGAATATACCCTGAAGAGTCCATAGCTGACATCCAAGCAGATATATGCACACCCATGTTTACTGCAGCTTTGTTCACAATAGCAAGGAGTTGGAAACAACCTAAGTGCCCATCAACAAACGAATGGCTAGAGAAGCTGTGGTATATTCGCACAATGGAATAGTATGCTGCATTAAAAAACAAGGAACTCATGCAATATTATTCAAAATGGTTGACTCTGGAGAACATTATGCTGAGTGAAATATCCCAGTCACAAAAGGACAAATATTACATGATGCCACTGTTGTAGAATGAGACTGTCCTTGGGGTTGGGGAGAGACTGAGTAAATGGGTTCAATAATGTATACTGCACTGAAACAGAGGAGGGAGAGAACCGTCTAAAAGAGAGATGTAACTGGGTATTTCTGTCATCACAGGAGACTAGAGCGAGGGCTGCATGGTGGAGGGGACCTGGGGGAGGGTTTGTAAAACAATGAAAGAATCTTTTCTTTTACTTTTCCATAATTTTTGGACTCATGTACTTATAACTTGTTAGTCAAATTTGTGTCTTCTAGGTTGCAACACCCCCATGATACATCTTGAAGGATATGTACATGTACAGCCAAGCACAATCAATAAGAGTGCATCTGAATTAAAAAATCAATCTCCATAATAGTCTATGTGTTTCCTACTGCCAAAGGGGCCCTTTAGAGTAGTGAGAGAAGATCTTCACCCTGAAACCCACAGCGTCCCTTTTCAGCAGGAAGTAGCTAAGAGAATACGCCGTCCCCTTTTCCTTATGACTCAGGGTGAAGTCTCTCTCAGGGAGGAGTGATAGGGAATGGCAAAGGACACACTGACAAAGAAGATTAATCAGAACTGGCTTTGACAAGCACTGTGGCATCTGGACAAGAACAAACTGGGAGGAGGGTAGAGAGAATAGTGCAACAATGAATGAATGGAAGCCCAAAATCTCTGTAAATGTTTTATGAAAATTAATAAAATATAATTATAGAAAAAAAAATATCCATAACTCTAAGAATGTCACAGTTGACTACTAATCTTCAATATGGATTGAGGCTCAACAACAAAAAAGATTCTTGAAAAACCATGGGTGAGCCCCACTGCCCCTGGCCACCTGCCTCTGAAGCCACGCCATCACAGCAATGTGGAGCTGCCATGGCTGGAGCCCAGAGGTCCCCTCACCTGGGCTGAGTGGTAAGTGATGGCCCCGCACAGCCACAGAATAAACTAATTTAAAAAAAAAAATTAAAAAAATTCCTGGAACCAAGAAGGTGACGGTGGGGGAAAGCAGAGTGAAAGAGGCATGCTGGGCTCCACTCAAACGGCCCATCACGGCCCTCTGCAGTCTGTCTATAAATGAAAAGTTAAAACAGGTGACTACTGGTCTTTAAGGATTGAAGCTCAACATCAAGAGGACAAAGAGTCTTGAAAAACCATGGGTGAGTCTCACCGCCTCCGGCCACCTGCTGCTGAGCCTGTGCCAAAAGGCCCAAGGAGCCACCACAGCCAGAGCCCAGAGGTCCCCTCACCTGGGTTGGGCCGTACAGTAGGCACCAGGCCCCGTGGCTAGTACAACAGAGCCCCTGCGTAGCTGGTGGCAGTGCTTGTAAGTGGCATGGGAAGAGACGGCAGGGGCAGCAGTGGAGCCACGTGGAAGGTGAAGGGTGGTTTGAGTGCTTGTTCTACTGCCTTTATTACTTTTGCAACCTTGAGTGGGTCTGTTCACCACTCTGGAAGCATTGTGAGTTACAATCAGACCACCTGGTGGAGAGGAAGGGGGTAAAGATGGAGCTAGAAGTGCTGTCCCTGGGCTTGGTCCACAGTAGGGTGCAAGGTTCAGACCTCAGAACAGCTTTGGTGGGGGGGGGGAGTGGCAGCTAGTTCCCGAGGATTGCCACCCAGCCCCTGGGGAGAGCTGCCCGGCTCCCAGGGAGTGCTGTCAGTTCACTGGGGAGAGCTGCCTGGTGTGTATGAGGAATTTTATTTGAGCCACTTTCTTCCATCTCTTTCTCAAGTGCATCAGAGTAACACCTCCAAAGAACTTTTCTTTGCAACTCACAAGTTTGTTCTCTCTAGTTTTGTTCCCTTTCCAACAAGTAATCTGAACACTGAGTCGTGTTCCAGACCTCAACCCTGAGCCCGGTTCCAGAGACAAAAGGGAAACATAAACTGCCAGCTAAGGAAACAAAAGTCCATGGAGCTTCAAAGCTTAGCCAGCCACCCACACTGGGATCATCCAGGCAAACACTGTGCAGTCCAGAGAGCAGAAAACACCAGGAAAATATCTTCTAATGGAACAAGAGGGCATGCAGCTTCAACTCAAGACCACCAGTAAAGTGTTAAAATGGGCTCCCCTTTCCCTTCATCTCAACGCCCCTCCATGTTCAGCATGAAGCAGCCAGTGAGTCTGTACCTCATTCCCAAATGAGAAACCCACAAATGAAAAAGACAATTTCTTTGTTTGAAAAAAAAACACCTTTGGACTATGCTCACCATTAAAAAAACAAAAAACAAACCAAATCTGGATGAGTTGCATCCCCTCTAAACATAAATTCTACACTCTTTGGAATAAACAACTTGCCTAAAAAGTGGAATGTGGCATCAGGATTGGAGTAAGGCTCATCAACAACCTGTGTTAGGCAGATGAGATGACCTTGCTTGCTCAAAGTGAAGAGGACATGAAGCACTTGTTGCAGAAGATCATGGAATGCAGCCTTAAATACGGATTGCATCTCAATGTCAAGAAAACTAAGGTTCTTACTACTGGAATGATAGCCAACATCATGATGGAGAAGACAATCTGTCAACAGCTTCATCTTGCTTAGATGCACAATTGACACCTTGGTACCAGCAGTCAGGAAATCAGGAGACATACTGTACTGTACCAGGATTTCAGTTTGAGGACTTAGGTGTGTCTGATTCAGGCTATGGTCTTTCCAATCGCTTGCTAAGCATCTAAGAGCTGGACAATGACTAAGGATGACAGAAAAATTGATGCCTTTGAGCTGTGGTTCTGGAGGAGAGTTCTGAACATCCCGTGGAAGGCAAAAAGAACAAACAAATAGGTCTTAGAGAGGATGCAGCCAGACTGCTCTTTGGAGGCAAGGATGAGGCTTCACATCACATACTTTGGGGATGTTGCTAGGAGAGGCTATTCCTTCAAGAGGGACATGATGATTGGATAGAGAGCTGGCAAAAAGAAGGAAGACCAGTGACAAGGTGGACTGACATGGTGACTGCCACTGCGGGCGCTAATGTGTCAGAAAGTGTGAGGATGGCACAGGATAGGACAGGGTTCAGAGCTGTTGTTCATAGGGTCACTATGAGTCATACTCGACTTGAGGGAACCTGCTTAACAACATGTCTATTTCTCATTTCAAGATACACATCTTCTGAAACTGGGAGCCATTTTATAGAGATGTATTTTTTTATATTAGCATTTTTTTAAAAAGTGTTACTAATTCAATGGCATATCTTATAATTACAAACATTTTCAAATCTAGGATTATGATGTCACTATTATGTTAATGGGGAATCCAGTTTGGAAGTCACCTGTAGCAGCCAGATTCTACCAAAGGTTTGTTTGCTGGTTCTGATGAGGATTAGGATGGAATGTTTACTGGCTAGTGGGTGTGAGATGATGTGATTCGGCCTCCTATTTAAAAACACATTTGGTCAGCAGTACGGGGCTGGATTGGAAGCAGGAGTGGCATCTACTTCATCAATAACATGCCTCCGGAGACTCTATGAACTTTGATTAATGTTGATAGTTGTAGAAGGGCTTCAAGCCTTTTGTTCATAGGGTCACTATGAGTTGCGCTCGACTCAAAGGCAATCAACAACATTAATGTATTGTTAAGTGCTGTTGAGTTGATGATTCATAATGACCCTAAGAACTACATAGCTGAACACTGTTCTCCCCTGTGCTATCCTCACCATCTCCAATACACTTGATCCCATTGCTACAATCACTGTGTCAAACCACCACCTGGTTGAGGGTTTTCCTCTTTGGCTTTCCCACTACTTTTCTAAGCATGATGTTTCTTTCTAAGGCATAGCCTCTCCATGCCCAAAGTGTGTGAGACAAAGATCATCTGTGCCTCAAAGAACCATTCTGGCTGTATGTTCTCTAAGATCTATCTGTCTGTTCTTTTGGCAGTGTATGGGTTACTCAGTACTTTTCTCCTACACCGCAGCTCAAAGGCATCAATTCTTCTGTTATCCTTACTCATTGTCTGACTCTCAGCAGGACAGCAAATGTCTGGAAAGATCATGGTCCAAATCAGGTGCACATTAGTCCTCAAACTGACATCACTGCTCCGTAGTAACCTGGAGAGGTCCCTGACTGCAGACTTTCCTAGTGCAATACATCTCCTGATATGACTGTTAGTACGAAGGGTGTTGAGTGTGGATCCAAGCAAGATGCCTTTGTTAACAGTTTCAATCTTTTCTCCATCCATCATGATGTTGTCTATTGGTCCAGTGGTGAGAATTTTTGTTTTCCTGACATTGAAATGCAATTCATACTGAAGCCTGCAGTGTTTGATCTTCTGCAGCAAGTGCTTCAAGTCCTCCTCCCTTTCAGCAAGCAAGGTTGTGTCATGTGCATAACGAAGGTTATTAATGAGTCTTCCTCCAATCCTGATGCCATATTCTTCTTCATAGAGTCCATTAATGGATAATCTTACAATATTACAGTAATAGCTCTCTATGTATATGTTTTCAAGATGTGACACATATTTGATTCGAACATTTCTATACTGAAATGACTATAGAGTGTTACCAGTTTTTCACTAGACATAGTGATGAGATGCCCTCTTGGTCTGGTATTTATGTTTAGTCACTCAAATTACATGAAAATACTATGAAGTCAAAGAGAGGATGTACCCGCTTTGTGAGCTAATCAGTACCCTGCAGACTGACCATCATCAGCCAGGTTGGCAGATGGGATCCGACTTACAATGGACTGTCGCCGCTGCTCTACAGTTAGTTCGTCGTCAGAGTCACTGTAGTACTTGGAGTAAAGATATGGCTTGTGGACATAAGCTTGCCGAACGCCCTTTGCTTTTCCTTCGCTAGCGTCACTGGTTTGAGTTTTTGTTTTACTCTGCTTGCTTTTCTCTTCATCTGGAAGACAGTCAATAGAAAGAGGGGTGCTTTTGTAAATTAGTAATAAAACAATCATTATGCCATATAATCAATCACCAAATGCACAATCAGCACAGCTCAAGATTACTTGCAGGCCCAACACAGGAAATACCACTACACGTGTCACTGCTTTTTAGTAAGTTTATTTTTCATAGATACTAAGAAATTAAAAAAAAAGCTAAATGACAGTGAGAAGCATGTTCAAGGCATTAAAAAAACAAACCAACCTCCTGCTTTTGCTTCCATGTTTTCTTCTTTATGCTGTCAGTTTGGATGTGCAATACTGGCTGGTGCTTACTAGTTCTTTGACCTTGAGCAAGACATACTTACTCCAGGCCAGGGCTTCCTGACCTACTTCACAGGGTTAACTGTTCAAAATGGCTTTGCCATGAGGATGAGTGGGAATATGCAAATAGGGATGTTAGCCTACCCACAAGAGGACTGGTTAGTCTTGCCATTAAATTGAGCAGATCCAGAAGCAGGACTGGAGAGTCTCACCATCAGCAAAGAGGAGCAGGCATGCAATTGGTGCCCTCTAACCAGAGTTTCTAGTGCCAGGTAGACTTTCAGCAGCAGCAGAAGCAGCAGCAGCGATAGCCAAAGCAGAGGACGAGAGACCTGACATGAGATAGGGCTGGCCTTGGGATGGGCTACCTCTCACAGAACTAGAGCTAAGAGCCTTTGCCCAAGCTTGCTGGACAACTGGAGGACTAGGGGGTAGGGTGTAGAGGCCATAACTGGGAGGCCTGTGAGGTCGGTAACACAGGCCTAACGTCACAAGGCTGAGGTGCCTGAGAGCACATTTCAGAAGCTGTCCTGGCCGTATTCTGCTAGCAACCTGGATTATGAACTTTGACTTCCCCAATATGTTTCTGTGTGGTCTGTGAGCTACTGTACGATTCTGGATCCAGGAAAGCAGTAAGACTGGTGTTGCAATGAGTTCAAAGACTCAATGAGTTCAATGGTGGACATGTCTAACTTCATGGGAATTGGTTCTGTGTTGCTGATGCTGTTGATGAGGACAGCTCTCCTTTTGTGAAGGTGGTTAATATCAGATAGGGCCATTCCCCAAGTGGCCTTTGTTCTTTATACACAGGGCTACTGTGAGATCCCAGAAGTTATCACATATAAGCCCTCAGTACAGTGCCTGAACACTGAGAAGTCAGAACCCACCATCATCAGGTTGATTCTATCATGTTTCTGAGACCGCTGATCCTAACAGAAAGAGACTGCTTCATCCTTTCTGGGAGCAGCTGTAGCTCTACCTGCCAACCCTGTAGTTAGGAGCCCAACACTAACCTAAGTCTCCAACAACAGCACAGAGCAAGCACTCAATACGCTTGAGCTTAGAAACAAACAAGCAGCATCTTCCTATCTCCATAAGCACAAACTCACTGCCGTCTTACAGTGAAGCAGCTGGGCAGAGTGAAGGCAGGAGACGCCAAAGCTCACCGCAGCTGGTAATTTACCAAGTCTGCTCTGAGAGAAACCAAGAGCTGGGACTCCAAACAAACCTCATGATAAAGCTCCATGCTCTGCCACTACCATCACCCTGGTTTTCAGAACACCCTCACCTCAAGACAGAAGTAACACTCTGAGGAAGCTTTGTAAAGCTAAGTAGTAAGTAAAATGTCTCACCGTCTGAGGTAATCTCACCCTCTTCAGTGCTTTCGGACATCACCACCTCCTCCTCAGTGTCTTCCTCAAACGATGAGAGGTCACTGGTATGGACAGAGCTGACTGTGATGTCAGTGAGGCCGTCCACGTCAGAGTCCACCAAAGCGCACTCTTCAGGAAGCAAGTTAAACACAAGGCAAATCCACTTGTTAAAGAGCACACTCAGAAACTAATCCCATAGCTACAGTGAGTTTTCTGCTTTAAAAACATGCCAAAGTAAGTCATCTTTAGAAAGGAAAACTCTCTCCCCTTCAGCTAATAAGAGCTAACATACAGTCATTCCCCAAAATAGTTCTACCAGTATCTTGGAAACAGAGTTAAACTATTAATTTAGTATATGAATTGGGGGGGGGGAGGGCCCAAGTATATTTTAAGTACAATATTTAGTATCTAGTATTTGGAAAAACAAGAACATAGTGAAATCTGTGAGGCAGAACCCAATGGGGCTGCCAATGTTTCTCTGGGTTTACAAGTTTTCTACCCTTGACAGCGTGCAATCTTCCCACTTTGTTAGCCCTCTCTACCAGCTGGAATGATCTGAGTTCTCCTTCTCTGATAGGTTTTGGCCTTACGTTAGTTCTTGCTTTCTCAGGTTTTACTCCACAACCGGGGCTTAAGCTGCTTGGGATAATGCAAGTGAGTAAGCTGGCAAACTCAGATGATAAAGTTCAAGAGTTTCTCAGCTCATGCATTTTGTGAACTTGTGTATTAATGTAGGAGATGACATTTACAAATGTTTACTGTTCTCAGTTAAGCCCAAAAGATTTACGTTTTTAAGAGTTTTGAAACAATGAGCACACAGATTAAAATCTGAAGAAAAACACTGCTATTCCTCAGCCAGCCTTGCTCTTTAACCTAACGTAGGGACTCTGCAAGTGTCTCTGTACCTTCTTTAGTCGCGTCACCAGTTTTCGCTTTGTTACTGCTCTTCTCGGCGGGAGCTCTGGCGCCCTCTGCTTCTCTCTCCTTGCCTTGCTTCTCCTCTTTGACCTTCTGGATCTCCTCACTCCGTTTTGAGTGATCAGATTTCTTCTCTATCTTGTCTTTCTTCTCTTTTTTCCTTTCCCCCTTGTCACTGCTTTCAGGCTTCTTCTCAGCTCTGTCTATAGATTTACTTTTCTGTTCACTGATTTCTTGCTGGACTTCCTTACTGGGTGGAATTAAACCACTGCTCTCTTTTACATGGTTTTTCATTTCTTCAACTGGACCAGAGAGGTCAAGGGATTCTTCAGCCTTAGGGGATGCTTCAGGCCCTTCCCCGGCAGGGTCTGGGGGAGATCGGTCTTTATCAGCCATGTCCTCTGACGGCCTCTCTTTCTCGGAGGTGGTGTCTGTGCTGGGCTGTGATGGGAGTTTTTTAGGCACTCTCTCACTGGCCTTGGCATTTGACATTTCTGTGGAGGCCCTGGCAGCACTGGCTTCTTGGTTAAGAGAAGTTATGGTTTCCAAGATGGACATGGCATCATTAGCTACATTAGCACTGGGCCCGGGAGCAGCAACACCTGAGTGAGAAACACATGTTTTAGAATATATCCGTGCAGGAGGTGAACGACTTGGCTCAGTTAATGCTACGCACCACTCACTATCATCTTATATGGTGCATACACTGTGCAGACGTCTGTGTTCCCGGAGACTGTCAGGTGTTAAGTGCCCATACGTAATACATTCAAAACTCTCTACCTTCCTAAGCAGCATCCTAGAAAAGCCACTATGCACATCTGAGGAGCCTCGGTCTAGAACCCAGAAAGAGAATATATTGCCGAATTATTTTAATTATTCTCCCATTATAATACAGACAGAAACATAAGACACACATGCTACGTAAACGCTTATTATTTATATTAATATGAACGATGTTATTCTAGTTAAGGAATCTGGGTGACAAAGTAAATACAACTTCACTAAAAAGCTCTGCTGGAATGACAGGTTAAGCACTGGGTTATTAACTAAAAGGTCAGTGGTTTGATCCCACCAGCCAAGGGAAAACAAGGAGTAGTTCCCTTGTGTGAAGGTGGGCTTGTGTGAGGTGGGGGCATGGTAATCCTACAGGCCAGCTCTAATCTGACTGACAGGGCTGCCAGGAATCCGAATCTACTTAGGGAGCAATGGTGTCTTAGTCTATAGGCAGAGGTGGTGCATCTCGGGCAGTCTGAATCCAGCATCTGCTCCAAGAGATAAAGACAGGCAACCTCCTCCTGTGCACCTTAAGTCTCCAAAAGCCAGATGAAGGATCAGCTGTAAATCAGTTCCAACTCAATGGTTATGAGTTTGAGGGCTTTTTTAAGTCAAATAAAGGTATGTGTAAGGAACCCAAACCCCCTAATTTGACACCCAGATGAAAGAACAAAAGCAAGGAACTGACCAAGAGTTAAAACAAAGCACCTTGTGTAATGGCAGAAGAATCGGGCTTCTCATCATCCAGAGCAGTGCTCGCACTTGCTTCTTCTTTGTGATTTAACGTGGCCAAGAACTCATGCACAGCTTTCTCCACTTGAGGTCTGAACGTGTGGTTGATCTTTGGATCCACAACCTGAGAAATGATTCGGTCGATACCAGACTCCAACATTCCAGATCTGAAACAGAGTTATGTATGAAAGAGAGATCTGCAATTTTTACATTAAATACTTTAAAACAAAGCTATTGTGTTTATGTTTACTCTTAAACTGGCATGGTGGAGTTAGAGAGATGCACAAAGTAATAGAGAGGTTCACACTATAGAAGCATTTAGATATAACATACCATAAAAAGGTGTCTCTAAGATTTCCACCAGTGGGTTGCTGGAGGAAATACTAAAACAAACAAAATAAACCAAAATCACCCTCAGAATTAAACACAGCACACTGCATGGAACCAGATATATAGGTGCTTGTTTTACTCCAGCTCTGCCTGTAGCAGTCAGTGACAAATTAGCAAAAGGGCAGAGTCCTAGGGAGAAAAAAAACCTATGGAATTTTTGGACCTTTTTTAAACAGCAAAGTGTTTGTAAGCATTAGAGTCTGAGGAAAAGCTGAAGGACACAAAATATAATTTCATCAAATTAAAACATCACGTTAGGCAAACAAAAATAAAACTGAAGACTTCTGGCGTTCCTTTTACTGTCTTCTTGCTATAAAACTGAGATGATTTATTCATTCAACAATTATGTTCTGAGTGGCTTAGACATGACAGGCACTGGGTGGGCCACTAGGCAGTTACAAATCCGAACTCGTCCCTGTTCTGGTGGGGGAGAGTTATTGTCATCAGGTGCCACTATGTTGGTGTGGAGTCACAGTGACCTCAAACCCAGCAGAAAGAAGGACTGCCCAGTCTTGTACCATCCTCGGCTACATCTGAACCCACTGCTGTAGATACTGCCAATCTCTTACTGACGATTTTCCTCTGACCTTCTATCAAGCACAATGTCCTTCTCCAGGAACTGATCCCTTCAGATAACATGCCTGAAGTATGTGGGATAGTCTTGTTGAAGCCTCTGACTGTTCTTTTTCTTCCTTATTCATTATCCAGCTTTTGTATGCACAAGGCAACTTGGGTCAGCTCAATGACATTTTTTGTTCTTCACCACTTTAAAAAGGTCTTTTGCAGTATATATGCTCAATGTATTTATTATGTTTATTAATGTAGTTGTGAGAATTTTTGTTTTATGTCAGAGTGTAATCTATGCTAAAGTCTTTGATTGTCAAGTGCTCTTTATCAAGCAAGGTTGTGCCACCTGCATTATTACAGCTTATTACTAAGTCTTCTTCCAATTCTGATGTCATATTCTTTTCCATCTAGTCCAGCTTCTCGGATTCTTTGTTCAGCATATAACTTTCTTCAGAATATATACATGTTCCACATTTTCCTTCTTCACAATGTTATCCATAATTTGTGATACACAGAGTTGGTCACCTTTGCTTAGTCAATAGAACACAGGTAAACATCTTTCTAGTATTCTCTGCTTTGAGCCAAGATCTATCTGACATCAATACCTCTTATTCCATACCCTCTTCTGAGCTCAGCTTGACTTGCGGGCAGTATCCTGTTGTTGTGGTGGTGTGCCTTCGAGTTGGGACTGACCCATAGCTGACCCTCCACGGGGTTTTCAGAGGCAGTTTAATCACACAGGAGGAGACTGCCCATCTTTCTCCCACAGAGCAGCTGGTGGATTTGGACCACACGACTTTGGGATTGCAGCACAGCTTCCTACCAGTAGGCCACCAGCGCTCCTCCAACCATTTTTATCTTCCGCAAAGTTTTATTTGCATGTAATTTTAATAGTAAGTCTAAAAAGGTTTCTATTCTACCGGATCACCTTTCTTTGGAATAGGCACAAATATTGATCTGTTTCAGTCAGTATTTACGTTCCAAATTCTTGCCACTGATAAGTGATCACTTCCAAAGCAGCATATTTTTACTGAAACATTTTAATTGGTACTCCACTAACTCCTTGAGTTTTGTTTTGTTCCAATACTGTCATTGTGGCTTGGACTTCTTCCTTCCATCTCCGTGGTTTTTGATCATGTGCTATCTCCTGAAATGGCTGTTACCTGACTCTTTTTGGTATAATGACTCTGTATTCCTTGTCACTAATTTTGGTATTTATGCACTGATCAGTATTTTGTCCCTTGACCTCATCAGTATCTCACCTCTGAATACGTTATTTAGACATGAACTTGTCCTTTAGATCTTTCAGCTTGCAGAATGGTAAATTATGTTCTTCTCTTTCAGTTTTCACATCACTTGTCTTCTCAAGATGCTGGTTGCAGTTTCCTTTTCAGTTCTTACCTCCTCATTCCTTCCATTTCAATAGCAATTTTCAGAATCTCTTCTGACATCCATTGTGGTCTTTTCTTTCTCTTTGATGACCTTTTGCTTTACTTCTGTATGGTGTCATCCAGTGACTCTCACTAGTGTTCAGTAAGTCAGATTTATTCTTGGGATGCTATCTGAATTCAGGTGGGACATCGCAAGGTTAAACTTTGATTCTTACTGATTTGCCTTCATTTTCATCAGCCGACACTTGAACATCAAATGAGCAACTGTTGGTGGGGGAAGGAGAACAAACAAAGCTAAATACAATAGAAAAGACAATGGTACATATGACATGCTAAAGGAAAACAGAGGAATGGAGAATTATTGCATCTGAAATAATTTGGGATGATATAATCCGCTTCAGAGAGGAGACAAGTGGGACTGACTAGATATTTATAAGAGATGGGGACAAAAATAATCCTGATAAACTTGGCTACACAAGAGACACAAGGAACAAAGAGGTCAGTCATGTCTGAAACGTGCAGAAAAATCAAAGGTATCTGAGCAAAGTAAGAGAATGTGACTTTAAGAAAGGTACTTCAACCCTTTATGCTATGGAGGAGCTGGTGGATTCAAAACACCTATGTTGTACCCTTTTCCCATACTTAGGTAATCTGTATTGCTCAGCAAATTATTTGGGAGGCTGGATTCAATGAAGGATGCCACGTAAGGATTGGAGGAAGACTCATTAATAAACTTTGTTATGCAGATGATGCAACCTTTCCTACTAAAACGCGGACCTGAAACACTTGCCGGGGATTAAACAGTGCAGCCTTCAATATGGATTACATCTTCAATGTCAAGAAAACAAAAAGTTCTCACCACTGGACAAGTAAGAGACATCACAATAGTTGGAAAAGAGACTGAAAGTGATAGAGATTTTATCTTACTTGGATCCATAATCAATATACTTGGTAAAAACAGTCAGGAGATCAGAAGACATAGTGTACTGGGAAAGTCAGCTGTCAGGGACCTCTCCAAATTACTGAGGAACAAAGATGCAAGTCTGGGGACTAAGGTGCACACAATTCAGACCACAGTCTTTTCAATCACTTGGTATGCATCTGAGAGCCGGACAATGAATAATGATGACAGAAGAACGGATGCCTCTGAACTGTGGTACTGGAGAAGAGTACTGAATACCCCATGGATGGCCAAAAGAACAGAAAGATATGTCTCGGAGAAGGTGCAGCCAGTGTTCCTTTGAGGCAAGGACGGCGACGCTTCATCTCACATACTCTGGAGATGTTGCTAGGAGAGACTATTTTGTGAAGGACTTGGAAAGATGAGGGGATGGCGAAAGAGAGCAAGACCTTCAATCAGGTGGCTTTAACACAGTGACTATAGCAATGGGGTTGAGCGTGCCAGAGACGGAGAGGCTGGCACATGATAGGACAGGGTTTGGATCTATTGTTTACAGGGTTGCCACAAGTCACACATATTCCACTCGATGGCATCTAACAACAACAACAACAACAACAACAACAACAACAACAACAACAACAATTTAAACCCTGGTTGTTCCTGAAAAGAACTCGAGGAGATGAGATGTCCTGCATAGTGTAATAGTGAGGCTACTAGATCCGCTCTCTCTTCTCCTCACACTTCACACGGCTATTTTTGAGTACATGTCTGTCTGCAGCACAGGAGGGATTCGATTTTTATCTCCTGAGGCACCTTGCAGCCTTGTGACAGGATAATTCTACTTATGTGGGCCATAGAGAAAAATGAGTCGATTCTCTGCAAAGTAGGTTACCTGCTTTGCCAAAGCGCCAAGATAAAGTATGAAAGTTCTGCAAACATCGCTACATCTTAGAGGTGTCTTTAAATGGTAGCAGGTGGAAAAGAAACTAAGAAAAAGAATCATACAAATGTTCTGATTTGAGAAAAAAAGTGCAAATATACTTAGAAACACAACAAATTCCCCCGTGCTCATGTTATTGTCTGTTTGCCCATTTTCTGTCCACTAGTTCTGCAAACAAACATATGAATGAAAACACTTGTACACTAATCCTCTCTCAGAGGCCAGCTTTGATCTTAATGAAAAATGCAAGTTCAACTAGTGACCACACTGCGTCAGCAGGCTCACGGCCTGGGGGTGATGTCTAGCTGTCCCACCACAGGGCAGAAATGATGGTCCTAGGCTTGAAGGCAAAGTCAAAACAAGAATAGCTGGTGTGAGGGAGCGTTGGTGGCCCAGAGACAAGAAACTGCACTGCAATCCCGAAGGCACATGGTTCAAATTCACCAGATGTTCCGCTGGAGGAGGTGGGGCAATCTCCTCTTGTACCAGTTGGATCCGACTCAACAGTACACACTATCGACAACAAAAAAAGAATAGCTGGTGTGTTGGCATTGCTTGGCTTGTTCTGCTTAAAGATGTCCTTGTCTTCTTCTGAAATTCTTTTTAGTTAGGATCCTACACAGGGCTTCCTAGCATTTCAGACTCCGTTGTACACCTCAATGCATAAAAAGAGTAAGATTTTCTTGGTAAGGAATTGTACTGTCAACCAAAAGGTACAATGTTTGAATCCATCAACTGCTCCACGAGGGAAAGACGGGCAATCTCCTCCCATGATTTTAACTGCCTCTGAAAACCTGCTGGATGGTCAGCTAAGGGTCGCTTCCCTCGATGGTACAGAACAAGGGTCTAATGGATAGCGCTGTGCTGCCAATTTAAAGGTAAGGTGCTCGAATCCATCAGCTGCTTCGAGGAGAGACCTGGGCAATTCCTCCCATTTGATGTAAAGTCTCTGGAACCTGCTGGATGATGAGCCTGAGTTAGTCCCGACTCAACGGCAATGAGTCCGAGTTTTCCGAAGCCAGTAGCTTGACTATATTCTTTCAATCACATGAAACTGTGGTTTTGCATAAAAACAATTTCATATACAGGGAGCTCCAGTAGTTTAGTGGCAAGAAGCTGTGCTGCAATCTCGAAAGAACACAGTTCAAATCCCACCAGCTGCTCTGTAGAAGCGGGATAGGCAATCACCTCCTGTGCGATAAACTGTCTCTGAAAACCCACCGGAGGGTCAGCTATGGGTCGGTTCCGACTCTATGGTGCACAACAACAACAACTAACCAGAGAGGTAATGTCACTGCTCCTCAGTAATTTGGAGAGACACGTGGCAGCAGACTTGCTTAATGTAATACATCTGATCTCACTGAAGGCTCAAGTGCACCTGATTTAGCCCATGGTCTCTTCAATCCTTGCTATGCCACTGAGAGCTGGACAATGAATGAGGAGGACAGAGGAAGAACAAGAGTGTTTTGAGTTGAGGTGCTGGAGAAGAGTACTGAGTATTCCATGGAATGCCAATACAACAGACATATCTTGGAAAAAGTTCAGCCAGAGTGCCTCTTGGAAGCAAAGGTGATAAAGCTTCGGCTCACATACCATGGGCATGTTCATAGGAAAGGTTAATCCTTACAAAGGGACATTATGCTTGGAAAGGTGGAGAGTCAGCAAAAGAGAGGAAGACCCTCAATGAGAGGGACTAACACAAAGATTGCAGCAACGGACTTGAGGATGCACGAGATGAAGAGGACAGCACAGGATGGGTCACATCAGCGTTCCGATTTGTCGTTCTCAGGTAGCTGTGATGAGAGGGCCAATTTAGCGTTTCTCTAAACATACAGGATTAACTCTTTGCACCCTGGGTTTCCAGGTGCTGGGAGATGGAACTGACTTGATAACAACAAGTCATCTACGCTGCTGTTGTTGTTGTTAGGTGTTGTGGAGCTGAGTACGACGCACAGTGACCCTATGAACAACTGATCTGAATGTTGTCTTAGCCTGTACCATCCGCACGATCTCTGACAAACTGAAGCCTCTTGCCATTGTCACCCTGCCAACTCAGCTGGTTGAGGGTCTTCTTCTCTTTCACCGCCCCTCCACCTTCCCATGCATGATGGCCCAACTGGGTTTAAATTAATGGTGTCATAGATAGCCAAGCTCAGAGACAAAGCCATACATAACATCATTAAATTAAATTAAATTGGTCTTTTCTTTGAAGAAGTTTTAAAATGCTGCTATGAGTAATATAAAACTACTAATGGAATTTCAGTGAGAGTTTATTTAGAAATAAGCAGTAGAGCTAAAAGACAATTTACTGATGTCCCAGGAAGAGCAATGTCCAAAAGAGCTGTTTTCAAACATCTCTGGAGGGAGTCCTCATTTCCCATGGACGAACGCTCTGGTATTTAATCACAACACAGTTATAAAGATCCCTTATTGATGAATACAACGCCCTCTCATTGAACACAGTATTTTGATGACCCTGTTTTCTATTTGTACACGTACAATTGTTAACGACTTTAATAGTGAGTGTAAGGAACTCAGATGGTGTAACGGTTAAGCACTTAAATGCTAACCGAAAAGGTTGGTGGTTTGAATCTACTCAGCTCCTCTGTGGAAGGACGACCAAATGACAGGTAAAGTTGAGAGCCTAGGAAACTTAGCCAAGATTTAGCTGTATTCTACCATACAGGGCTATGACGAGCTGAAAATCAACCGACACAGGAAGCTTCACTTCTCTGAAGCAGAGCAAAGGGCTATTTTCCTTTGTGATGGTGTGTGCTGAGGGACACTGCAGTATCAGGGAATCTGTCTTCCACTTTCACACACTCACTGCCATCGACTTGATCCTGACTCACAGCGGGCCCCCAATGGGGTTCTGAGGCTGCAAACCTTTACAGGAGACCGCCCATCTTTCTCCCCAAGAGCCACTGGAGGATTGGGGAGGCCAGAGATGGGTGGCTTCTTGGGTAGCAGTGCAGACCTACCCTGGACTAGGCGAGCAGGGCCCTTAGCATCCATTTCTATCACTCAATACACGAATAATGGAAACCTCTCTCAGACATGCTTTAAAGCCATGTAGTCCAGGAAGAGGAGGGGACAGCCCTGTCAAGTGCTAAGTGAAGGCACCTAGGAGCCACTGGGACTACTCCTCCCCTCTCAAGCCCACCCCTCAAGTCCTCTGGTTACTGTCTTCTGAAGGCCTTGGGGGCATGGAGTAACCTTGCAGGTCTGTCACCTCAAACAGCTTTTCTGTTTCTTTTCCTGGAAACAGCTCCGACTTTTTCCCAACCAATTATTATGCAGCCCTCTAATGGCATCTCTCGCTCTCATCTGGACTCTCTGAGGCTGTTCTAGTGTTCTTTCAAAGGCAGACAGCAAAGCTAATGTTACATCTCACTTCACTCTTATTCCCCAGGAGGCAAGCGGAGCCCCTTCATGTGTTACCTATGGCTAAATGGGTGCACCTTTCAATCCGATTGTGGATTTCCAGTTATGGGACTTCCTGTGTGTGACTGAGGGCAACCGAGGAAGAAGCACAATAGCAGTGAAAGATTCCTGGGCAACGAGAGAGACTGAAGGGAAGGCAAGCACAGACAGACTTGGTCAACTGTTTAAAAACTACTGAATCTCGGACCCACAGCTGTTGACCTGATTCAATCTCACAGTGATACTCCAGTGCATTTCGGAAGCTGTAAATTCCAAGAGGAGCCTGTCCAGCAGCAGCTGGTGGATTTGAACTGCAGCTTGCTACAGACTATGCCAGCAGAGCTCCAGCTGTCTAAACTCACTCACTCACAGCTGCTGAATAGGAACCATCTCCTCACTGACTCTCTAGCAGGTTTTCCGAGGCTGTCAATCACACGGGCTATAAATTGCCTGGGAGGTGAGTGCCTTTGTACTCTCTCAACACCACAAGTGGACTTGGACTGGAGAGCAGCTCCCTCCCGGAAGAGCCAGCTATGATTCACAGAGGTGCACTTGCAGATAAACATCAAGGCAGGGAGTTTTCACTGAACTCAGTCACGCTCACTGGGGTGGTAGAGCAGGAAGATAAGGTCTGAGTCTGTCTTCGTGTCTTGGCAAATATTTACATTCACAAACAAGCCCAAGACTGTGAATCTGCTTTCCTGGAGTCAACTTTTTATTTTAAAGTCCAAATTCAGCTGCTGTTGAGTTGGCTCCTACTTGTTTAAACAATCCAGCTTTTCTCACCCTTTTTATTTTACATTCACCGAGAATGACGCTGATAGGTTTAAACAGAATTTTTTTTTCCCCCCTGGGTGGGGGCTGTGAGGAGGAGAGGAACCTAAGACATACCACCTCTAAAAAGCAGGAATCATGTTAAAATTTAGAAGTAGGATGTCATGTGATGAACACATACTCTGTCTTGCATGGGGCAGCCATACTAAACCTGGTAATGCATGTCAGGACTGAACGGCCCTCTCTCGGGCTGTGACAACTTCAAACTCGGTACTTACTTGAGGACTTGCTGTCTAATATTGTTTCTTAGCTGGTTCTTATTGAGATGAGGACTCCATGTATGAGCTGCTAAGTGGTTCGCCACAAAATTGTCAACACGCTGTCTCAGATTCTGATAGGCTGGCTAGAAAGAAAACAAAAAGAAAAACAAAACAATCAACTATTAAAAGAATCTCTAATAGTACACAATAACAATACTGATAAGTGCAGGAATCTGGGTGTCTTTAATGGTGTTAATATTTCTTAGATACCAATTACCAAGGTGGCAACAAAGTTTCACGGTCTATACCCACTCCCCTTGGGATAACTCAGAACATTTCAGTGTTATTTTGTCTAAGCTCTCTAGAGGTAATAGGAACACAAAGACAAAAAGAAAAGCACATCTCACTTTAATACAAAGGATTATGAAAGAATACACTGTTAGATGATTAGGTGCAAAGAAAAGTGGAGAGAAGGAATGCCTCCTTACAAAAGTGGGAGTCAAGTCCAACCTCCGAGGTTTCATAGAGTAACTAGTTGGGAATGACGAGCTGTTCAGGTACAGGAATCAAAATAAGAGCAAGTGGAGGAGAAAACACCAGGTAGAGGGGCATTTGGGATCTCCTGAACCTGGCAGTCCAACTTCATTAGAGAGGAAAATATCAAAAAGGAGAGTAAAGTTGGAGACAGGAGCTGAGGCCAGGTGGAGGAGAGGGGTAGTTGTGGAAGAAGTTTACAATTTTAGGGCAGAGAAGGGGAACCAACCACATACATCATCTAATAGATAAGCTTTCTGATGAGAGACAAAATCTACACACTAGCAGCTGTCAAGATGATTCCCACTCCCAGGGACACTGTATTATTTCAGAGTGGGACTGGGCTCCAAAGGTTTTCAAAGTCTGTGACCTGTCAAAAGTAGATCACTAAAGCCTTTCTCTCAAAGAGCCTCGGGGTAGATTCAAACCACCAACCCTTTGTTTAGCAGCTGACTGTTTAGCCATTTGCTAAGCGAATCCAAAACATTCTTAGTAAAGTAGTCCTATTCAGGTCTGCACTAGCATGGTGTTAAAAGGCATCAATCCAAAAGAAACAACGGGGCATGGCTGCGCAAATTTACATGAGACTTCTGACGGAAGGAAACGGTCAGCCAGGAGAAATCTGCTTCTCAAAGGCAATAAGTGGCAATGCCTAAGGACCTTTTTGGTTATCACTAGCGCTATTGAAGACACTTGAATTGCCTGCTGCAGAAGGTCAAAGGGGATAGCCTTCAATACGGGTTGCAGCTCAATGTCAAGGAAATAAAAAATCTCACCACTGAACCTATAGGCAATATCATGACAGATAGAGAAAAGACTGAAACTTATAATGACTTCATTTTACTTGGATCCACAATCAATATACGTGGTACCAGCAGTCAGAACATCAGGGAATGTATTATACTGGGAAAGTCTCAGTCAGGGACTTCTCCAAATTACTCAGGAGCAATGATGTCAGTTTGAGGACCAAGTCACACAACAACGTCAGTCTAGAGACTAAGCTGCACCTAATATAGGCCATAGTCTTCGCAATTACTTGCTATGCATCAGAGAGCTGGAAAATGACCAAGGATGACAGAAGAAAAATTGATGCCTTCGAATTGTGGTGCTGAAGAAGAGTATTGAACATACCATGGACTGCCAAGAAAATAAACAGGTTTGTCTTCCAGAGAGTGAAACCAAACTTCTCCTTCAAGGCTAGATTTTGAAGCTCCGTTTCATAGTTTGGGCACGTGGCCAGGAGAGGCCAGTCCTTGGAGAAGGACATCATGCTCAGGAGACTGGACAAGGAAGACTCCGGATTAGAACTGGGGCAATGGGGATTGGTGTGTTGGAATTATTGAGACTGGCTCAGGACATGGCAGGGTTCAGAGCTGCACAGGGTCACAGGTGAATTGTCAGCATATAACAACAAACAACAACATGCATCTGAAAACAGGAGAATAAATACGGATGATGGAAGAAGAATTGATGACTTTGAATTGTGGTATTGGAGAAGACTAATGCCTATCGCAAAGAACTGCAAAAAAGGACAAATAAGACTCCCTTGGAGGAAGTGCAACCAGGGGGTTCCTTCGAACAAGGATGGTGAAACTTCATCTCACACACTTTGAACGTGCTGACTGGAAGGCCAGTCCTGGAAAAAGACATGCTTGGAAAGTGGAGGGTCAGAAGAAAGGAAGACCCTCAGCAAGACGGGCTGACACAGTGACTCTAACAACGAGCTTGAGCATATCAGAGATGTGAGGATTCTGGGTGGCTGAGTGGGAAGCAACGTGACGGCGCAGGCTTCACACTTAGAGAGGGAACCTTGGTGACACAATAGCCAAATACTCTGCTGCTGACAGAAAGGCCACCCAGGAACTCTGCGGGGAAAGGCCTGGTGATTTAATTCTGTAGATTACAGCCAAAAGAACCCTATGGAGCAATTAAGTTCTGCCACTTTGGATCATGAGCTGGGACGGACTCGACAGCAACTCTTTAACAACAGCAACCAAGACTTCTAGCGTGGCAGCCAACTTTAGCATTTCCTACTGGGCTTCACATACACACAACTGGGTGACTGGTTTGCTCTTGGAGAGGACCTGACACATATAAAATGCCCAGATTCTTAAGTAAGTGTGTGACCGACATTATCTAGTTACTGCTGCATATTCCACTGTAGAGTATACAGATAAGATCGCGACAGAAACAGGTCCCTTACTAGGTGCTGTGGAGTGGGCTCCAATACAGAGCCACCTTACAATAACAAAGCAGAACCCTGCTCGATCCTGCACCCTCACAATCTCTGCTGTGCTTAAACTCGGTGCAGTCAATCCATGTTACCGATGGACTTCCTTTTTGCTGACTTGCTACTTTGCAAACGCGATGCCCTTCCCCAGGGACTGGCTACTCCTGACAGCATGCTCATCCCTGCTTCTAAGGAGCACTCTGGCTGGAAGTCTTTAAGGCAGACTTTGCTTCTTTGGGCAGGTCACGGTATATCAGTATTCTCTGCCAATATCACAATTACAAGACATCAGGTCTTCTTCAATCTTTCTCATTCACTGTCTAACATTTGCATGCATCTGAAGCAAATGAAAATACTACGGCTCAGGGGAGGTCCACCTTAATCTTTGAAGTGACTTCCTAGCTCTTTGTTATTGTGTACCACTGAGTTGGAACCAACCCACAGCTGACTCTCCAGTGGGTTTTCACAAGCAGTAACCATATGGGAGGAGACTGCCCATCTTTCTCCCATGGAGCAGCCAGTGGATTTGAACTGTGTACCTTCAAGATTGCAGTGCATATTCTTACCACTAGGCTACCAGAGCACCCTTCTAGCTCGTTAGTTCTTTAAATAGACCCTTGACAGCAGATTTGCCCAATGCAAGTCAGTCTTAGGGGTGCAGCTAATGAAAGTACAATATCGTAAGCATTTTCAACTATCTAAAAAGCAAGTAAGCACACAAAACCCAAACAAACTCATTGCCAGTGAATGGAACCGACTCATTGCTGACCCTGCCTTGAGTTTCAGGGTTAGAAATGGCAACGGGAGGATACCTTCCATCAGTCTTTCTCAGAGCTGTGCGTGGATTCAAACCACCAGGGACATGAAGCTTGTGGATCAGCAGTGCAACTCTCTATGGAGTCCGGACTGTGGGGGAAATGAGGGATGAAAACAGGACACAGGGAAACAGACCAGATGACTAGGAACAGGCTCAGAGGCAGGAAGACACAGAGTCTGAGGAGTGCGGGGAGTGCTGAGATCTTATCTGGCTATGCCCTGCCGCAGGGAGGAGCGTTTCATTTCAGATGTCCTCTAGTTACAAATATTTAAACAGGAATTCTTATAAAGCGTAAGAGAATCCGTGGTCAACTATTTTTGAGCTATAAAACAGCATTTTACGAGCCCACATTTTTCTTGGGACAAGGTCCTAGCGCTCACTAGACTGTTTAAACAACTGTGACCCTCCTCGTTTCATCCAGGAAGGGTTAAGGCTCACTTTCTGAGATTTGGCAGGGAAGAATGAGACAAACAGCAACAACAATTAGCGGAACTGGGGATGAAGAAAAAGCAGAGCTTTAGAAACTGCAGTCCTAGAATGAGGGCATTTAATATTCAATTTGCATACACAAATCTCTAAGTTCCAGAGAAGAACAGAGTGAAATATCTTCTTGTCTGGTATAGGAAACTAGCTTCACTGGGATTACTTTTTTTTTTTGGGGGGGTGGTGGTGGTGGTGGTGGTTACTTTTACCTTCTATGTCTAATGTTACTCGATTAGAAAAGGAAGTTATAGGCTTTATTTTGAAAAAGCTGCATGTTCTGAAAAAGCAACCAAGAAAGCAACACACTTCCTAAATAGCTGTTCCTGTTGTTACGTGTCACTGAGTTTATTAGATTCATAGAGACCCTATACAACAGCATGAAACAATGGCTGATCTTGCACTATCTTAAGTCTGAGTAACTGTCATGGTCACTATGCCAATTAATATATATATTATATATTATGCAACAGTAACTAGATAATGTCAGTCACACACTTACTTAAGAATCAGGGCATTTTATATGTGTCAGGTCCTCTCCGAGAACAAACCAGTCACCCAGTTGTGTGTATGTGAAGCCCAGTAGGAAATATATATTATTATTAATATATACATTCTCCTGGTCTGCACAGGGAGCCCAGTTACAGAGTCCTGATAAAACGGAACATAACATGTCTTCTTGACAAGGCAGGCTGCCAGAGCAGAAAAACAGAATCATGTCCAGTCTACCTCAAAGTCCGGGGGATTCTGTTACAGAAAAGATGTTCCACAAACCCTTTTTCTCAAGGGAGCGAGGCTCCTCCATATAGCTAAAACCGCTGAGAGAGAAAACATTTACCCCATCAGTGCTCCCACCTGGTGGACTCAAATAACTCCAAGTGTCCAACTGTCTCCCCCACGCTCTCTGCTCCGTTTGCTTCTAGATTCCACACCCTTGGATTTCTACCTGGCTCCCTGGTTGCTCTGGAGATCTGTCACACTACCTAAATGTACTTGTTCTGCCCATGGTCCTGTGTCCCTGGGCATTTGGTAAGAAGTCCTTTCCCGACTCTATGGATGAGGAACCACCGTACTGTCCCTCCTCCCTCCCCCTCTCATTCTTCTGTTTGAATGCGAGCTGTGACAGCCCTTCCCTGACCCTTTCCCCACTTCATGGCTAGGTTTTCTGACCTGCCACCTCTCGCTTTTTACTTGAAAGGAAGTGGCCTGACTTAAGCTCCTTCCACCATCACTAACAGAGACCAACGATGGCCTCACGCCCATTTCACTGCCAGGCTCGTCTCCCTCACCTCTACTCTCCATAATGCTCCGCAGAGCCCACTGCAGCATGAGTGGGTTCAATGACCACCTAACGCTGTCTCCAAAGGGCAAGGCCAATGCCCTGCCACCCAAGATCCTTTGGGAAAGAAAAGGGGAGGAGGGAACTGGATCCCCAAGAACAGCCTCAGGGGTGGTCCGTGCACCTCGGGGGGGCTCGTCCACTTGTGCGGGGTCCATTCACCTCCTGCACGGTCCGTGCACCTTGGGGATGGTCTGTCCACCCGGCGCACGGTCCACTGACTTCCTGCACAATCCATGCACCTCGGGCAGGGTCTGTCCACCTCGGGAACAGTCTGTCCACCTTGTGCATGCTCCGTGCACCTCGGGCGGGGTCCGTCCACCTTGTACACGGCCCGTCCACTCGTGCAGGGTCCATGCACCTTGGGCATGGTCTATTCACCTCCCACACAGCTCGGCCACCTCCTGCACGGTCCGTGCACCTCGGGCACGGTCTGTCCACCTCGGGGACGGTCCGTGCACCTCGGGCAGGGCCTGACCCCTTTCCCCGGGATCCCCGGTCCCTTTCCCCGGGATCCTCGACCCCTTTCCCCGCGATCCCCGACCCCTTTCCCGGGAGCAGCCTCTCCTGGCCTTGTGTTCCAGGGCCGTGGGGCCGCGAAGCAGCATCGGGACACACGGAGCCCGAGCGGGCGAATGAATGGCCCCGCGGCTGCAGAGCGGGCTCGGCGGGTGCGTCCCCCACCCTGCGCCCCGCACCTTGGTGTCCACGTCGGCCAGGCAGTCCCGGCGGAACTGGTCGAAGAGGCCCTGGCTCTTGAGGTGGTTGACGATCATGGCCACGAGCTGCGGGTCC